TCATCAATTGCAACAGCCACACTAACAAGATGTTCATCTAGAGGGGACTGGGGATGGGGGAGTAACATAGGAACACTGAATTTTCTGCTCGATTTTTCCCTAAACCTAAAACTGCTCTAAAAAAATAATAATAAAGTCTATTTGTTTAAAAAAACACATACCCACACCTGGCTCTGCTTCTTGCAGGCTGGGTGACCTTGGACTAGTTACTTAACCTCTTTGGTCTTCCTTTCCTCACCTGCAAAATGAGGACACTGACAGCACCTACCTGAAGGCTTGTTAATGAGAAGTGAGTGAATTTGTGGAAAGCACTTAGAATAGCCCCCAGTACATAGCACACTGGTGTTAGCCATGAACCCGACGATGGCAGCTACCGTGTGCTCGCATGCCTTAAACACTTCTAGGCACCATGTGGGTTAAGCCTTGCAGCAGCTTGGTGGGGCAGGTAGGAGCTGCTGTTATGTTCACTTTATAAAAGAGAAGCCTGAAGCTCAGAGGGATCATGAACTTGCTCAAGGTCACACAGCCAGCGAGGAAGGGAGAGCCAGGACTCAAGCCCATACATCTGCCTTTAGCACATGAAGTTGCCATCTCCAAGAAGAGCTGGTACTTGCTGGGACAGGAGCTTTTTTTTGGCGACTGGAAATTGTGTGTGTACCCAGTGCAATCTCGTTTTGTGGAGAGAGGGAGAGAGGAAGAGAGGGAGGGATTCCCTAAATGCCAGGCAGGATCTTGGCAGAGCCGGTACTAGAAGCTAGATCTTCAGTCAAGTCACTTGACCCAACGCACAACATCCCCACCCCTACTCTCAAAGGAGAGTGATCACATCGATGATGGGCAGCTATTCATCCGCCCCCATTTGTGATCAGGAAGGTGCCTTTGCCAGTCTATCACTATCACAAAGTGGTTGGTGACACTTTCTCCAAGAAGCCAGCTGGCTCTCTGGAGGTTGTCCTGCCCAGGATCCCTCCTCCCCAAGCTGGGAGTCCTGCCTCTACTATCTGGGAGAGTAACTGTGAGCTCCCTGTCCCCAGTTGAATAGCAATAAATTCAATTCTTGCTTTTCCAACTCAATATCTGCTTTTACATAACTGTGAAACCTGGGCTGTGTGGGGTGTCTCCCAAGCCTGCTGAAGGAGCTTTGTACAGATGTTCTCTCAGTCTCGTCGCTGGCATCACCTCACCTCCACGCCCACAGGTCCCAATGTACTTTTCGCTGCTCCAGGTCCCCTCCTCCCACTCATGTTTTCTGCACCTCTGCTCCCCACATGGGCGCCCACAGAGATCCACTGCTGCAGCCAGGACCTGCTCAGTGATCTCATCTCCTCCTAACCTAGTCCCCACGCCAACTCCTATGCACGGGATTCACTCCCACTAGACCTGCCACCCCCCTCCTCCCACAGGGCCTTTACATCAGCCCTGGTACAGAATGAAAAGGGTAGGTCAGAACCAGGGTGACCACAAAAGATCCTCTGTCTAGCGCCTGCCTCCAGCTCCTCTGGGCTCCTGAAATGCTAGAACCATCTTCGTCTTCAGTTCTCTCTCAAGCACCTCTCCTTCAGCCCTCTTTTCCCAGCTTTCCTTCCTGGGCACCGTGATGGACCAAATGTTTATGTCCCCCCAAAATTCTCATGTTGACGCCCTAACCCCAGAGCAATAGTATTTGAATATGGGGCCTTTGGAAGGTAATGTGGGCATAGAGGGTCATGATGGTGGGGCTCCGGTCTGATGGGATGAACAGCCTTATAAGAAGAGACACCAAGAGACCTTGCTCTTGCGGTCCCCTCCACGAGGACACAGCAGGAAGGCGACAGCCTGCAAACCAGTGAGACAGTCCTCACCAAAACCTGAATACGCTGGAGCCCTGATCCTGGACTTCCAGCCTCCAGAACTGTAAGATACATTTTCTCTGCGGTTTATGCACCCCGTCCATGGTATTTGCCATGACAGCCCAAGCTAAGACACACAGCCACCAGGCATTCCAAAAGACATATCTGAAAAGTGGAAAACCAAACAAGAAAAAACAAATCCCCCACACCAATGACAGCAGAGGAACCAAGCTACCCTCTGTCTCTTAGCTTCTTTTTAAACATGGGGACCAGGGTGGAAACCCAAATGAACAGGGGGAACACAGCGAAGGATAGATCACTGACAATCTCAGGTGTTGGGGGAAAGGCAGGGTAAGAATAGGGGAAGCTAGGCCCACCCCAGCTAAAAGCCGAAATGTAAAATAACACCAATCAAGGGACAAATTATTTTTAGAGGCAAGTTCTACAAGGCATATCATCCTACAGCATCCCAAATCCTCAAAAGATAAAACATCAAAACAAGACATTCTTTCCAGAAGAGAAGAAACAATATTTGGCAAGATGTTTACTTGTCTTAACTTGTCCTGTTAACATTTGATTGACAAGTAGTTTTTCCAGTACAGGGTTTGTATCATCTCTGGGGTAAATGAGTAAGAAAATAATTAAGACATAAGCTAAAGTCTGAGCACGAATGTGTGTATTACTTGGTGGGTATTAGCTCATTTAATTCTAACAACCCTATGAGGTAGATTCAATTGTCACCTGTGTTTTACAGAAGGAAAAAATGAAGCACATACTGTGGTTTTAAAAAGCAAACAAGCACCTGGCCGGTGTTGCTCAGCTGGTTGCATATGCCCTGGGGTTGCGGGCTCAGTCTCCAGTAGGGGGCACGCAGGAGGCAGCCAATGGGTGTTTCTCTTTCATCAATGTTTCTCTCTCTCTCCCTCCCTCTGAAATCAATAAAAACGTATTTTAAAAAAGCAAACAAGGCTTCCACCTTTCATATTCTACTTGGGGGAGGCAAAGCAACAATAAAACAATGGATAGAATTCTTGTCGGTGACATGGAGGCTACTTTGGGTTGTATGATGAAGAAAGGCCTGAGGATGCTCCAATGAAAAGGAGGAGCCCGCCATGGGGGATCTGGGGGGATAAGCAAGTTTCCCAGAAGCTCTGAAAATTGGCCACAGAATGTGTCCATTACTGGTTCTGATTTCACAAGCTGGGGCCCGGGCCAGGGTGAGGGCCAGGCATCTGTATTTTTCGGAGCCCCACAGGTATTTCTCACCTGCAGGCCAGGTTAGAGAAGCACCAGGTTCCACTCTCAGTTGCCTTCAAAGACTCCGGGTGCCACCTCCAAGAGATGTGTGGAAACTCTTTGGTTCCTGATCTGGATTGAAGGTTTGTGCCTCCCCCAAATTCCTACGTTAAAGCCCTAACTCCCTAATGGGACGGTATTTGGAGTTGGGGCCTTTGGGTGGTAATTAGGTTTAGGGTCCCCATGATGGGATTAGTGCCCTTCTAAGAGGAAGAGACACCAGAGCTTGAGCCCTCTCCCCACGACAGAGCTACTTGATGACAATGGCTGCCTTTTATACCTGCTTTTACTCCCTACCAAGTGGCCCACGGGGCTGGACACACAACAGCAGGTGTGTGCTACATGCTTGTGAAATGGGAAAGAGGTTGGATAGTCTCCCAGCCCAGAGGCCAGGGGGCTGGAAGTCAGGCTTCAGCCCACCTGGGTGGGAGGAGATCTGGGGCATGTGCAGCGGGGGTGGGGGACAGGTGCAGTGCAGTGGCGAGGGGGGGAGAGTGTGTGGGATCCTGAGCCAGAACACCAGGCACGCTCCTGCCAGCCAAGAGATCTTGGAAAGTCATTAAACTTCTGAGCCTCGTATTCCTCATCTTTGCAGAAACACTCTAAGGATTAAAGTGTTTAATATTCAAAATATACTTTCATTCCATCATTCCGCCAATATTTACTGAGTCCCTTCTGTGTGAAGGGCCCTGTTCCAGAAAAAGCCAACACAAAGCATAACGTACATGTTAGTTATTGCTAAAGAGATTGCCGATTTCCCCCCATTTTTCCTCTCTGTAAGGGGGACAAGTCCAGATCCTCCTGCCAGGTAGGGCTGCCTGCTCCACGGTGGAATCACTTTTGATCAGAGAGTATACTTAAGATACAGGAAACAATAGGGCATACACAGGAGACTCTAAGAAATGGGGCCCTAAGCCAGCGTGCCCAGACTCAGTGTGACAGAAGTCATGAGAGCAGGGCATAGCCAGCCCAGGACCAGGGCACAGGTAAGCTAGAAACCAGTCAAAAATGCACTAACCCCGATTCTTTACCCAGAGTAGCTCGTATTCCCGACGTGGATGGTATCCACCTATAATAAAGTCTCCTAATTCTCAAGGGGCTTCTGAATATATCACCCCACTGAGTCCTTCTATCAAAGACCAGCATGTGTTGGCGCCAGAGATAAAGCCCAGGACTGTCCTGTCCGAGGCTGGCAGTTCCCACTGACCTCACTGCCTGCAAGCAGTACTCTCTTCTCCCGAGAATCTTCCCTCATTCTAGCAAAGCCTGCCTGTGGCCAGATGACAGACAAGTTGTCATCTCTGGGTCTCTACAGCCTCTAACCCCCTAGAGAAGTCTTAGAAGGAACTAAACTGCCTCCCAGGGCAAGCAGAACCCATTCCCCAAGCTGGAATGACACCCTGGGAACTCCCATGCCAGAGAAGGGGCCCCAGCCCCACAAGCCCTACCCTGGCAGTTGCCCTGGCGTCATCCGACCTGCTGACAGGTCATCCCCAAGTGCCATCTGCCAGAGCAGCTGGACTTGCTGCCCCTAGAGCTCCAGCAAATGGGCACAATGAGCGAAAGAAAAAGACACCCAGGCCAAGAAAATCAGGAGAGCGGGGAACACCGAGCCTTAGGAGCATTATGAGAAAAGCGAAAATTTAAAACTCCCGAATGTGACCTTTTTCAGTTGTTAGATAAATAAAGTACTCGAGGTGCTTAGCAACACAATTGATTAACATGTGTACATTATCTTTAAATGCCTTGCAGCTACCCTTCCACCCAGGTTCATAAACCCACCTTTCTCAGCTCTGGCTGTAACTGTCCACATAAGCCCCATCTCTGGGGGTGGGGGTGGAGGCGGTGAAGGAGGGTGAATAATGTATTTCTTACCAGGGTCTGTGCAGTTCTTAGCTGCCTGAGTTCCATTCAGTGGTGCCATCAGCTTTCTGCTTCTCCATGTGTCTGGCAGAAAGTGTCTGCTTGCCGACGCTGTTTTGCGCCCTGGATTGGAAATTAAGTCACAGACATCATTAGGTCAAGGTGGCGCCTGCACTCTCACAATGACCTTACATATCTGCATCTAGCTATGTCAGCAACAGCCCCATTTGACTAGTTAGAGTCACCTGTAGGAAGTGACACAGTGATTGGAAGCATGATAAATATCTCCTACAGTCATCTGCTTCCAAGATGTAGTTCATTTTTCTAGTCCCAGGTGGGTCAGCATGTGACCTGACCTTGGCCAAGATCTCTCTGAACCTCACAGGTTCAATAAAAGGTTTAGCTAAGTGACCATTAAGTTCTTTGCCAGTAAAGATGCTCAGGTGTCCCAGCTCTGGAGGACCTACAAGTGGATAGTAAGCCAGCAGACGGGAAAAAAATGATGAGGTCTGGCCCAGGGCTTCTCACCCATAAATGTGCACACGTATGACCTGGGGACCAGGTTAAAATGCAGATTCGTTTTCAGTGGGTCTGGGCTGGGACCTTGGATTCGGCACTAACAAGCTCCCAGGTGATGCTGACTCTGCCGGTCCAAGGGCCAAACTGAGGAACAAGTGAGATCACAGGCAGGGATGACAGTGACCAAACGCAGTTAAACTCCTAAAGGCAATTCCTGACCCAGCAAGTACAGGCGATTCTCACTATAAAACCCTGAAAGCGTCCATTTACCTCTCCTGGTGCCTACACTGCCTCAGCTGGGTAATAACACTTCTTCTGTCATGCTGACATCTAAGAGCCTCTGGGTGTTTTGTTACTTCTGGTGCGTAACTCGGGGGAAACACATTGACTTGCCCAATTGCAAAGCACCAGATACTAAGATGTTCAAATAACAGTTCTGGTTTTCTGCTGGAAACAACCACTGTTTAACCTTGCATCCTCAATCACAAAGTATGGGTTTGAAAGGCAGGATTTTTTTTTTTATAAGTTTAATCAAGTCCCAGCTAAATTTTACCTGTCAATCACTATAAACCTCTCTAAATTGCCCCTTTCTGACTGCTCAAGAAGGTGCTGCTGCTGTATCTCACGTCCGAGTTGCTAAATCACCTGCATTTCTTTCATTTTCTAAAATGTGAAAAACAAAAGGTCCGCAGCGTCCAGTTAAAAATGGCAATGTGAGCCAAGCGAGTGTCTTCTGAAGATCCCACATGGGCTCGCATGCCCACCACCAGCACCCGAGGAGAGGTTTTTTCTAAGTTTCCCCTCTCCGGCTCAGACTGGCAGATCCTAAGCCACGCGGGGATCCCTGGCTTTCCTCTCGGGTGGAGGCGTGTGGGCTGTGGCCCCTGACACCCGCGCTCTCCGGCCGTGGCGGTTAAGAGGAGCTGAGAGGCAGCCTGAAACACGACAGCCACCTCCCCGAGGGGACGGGCTGCCCCAACGTTTTTAGGGTTTGAAGAGGCGTCAGGACACCCAGGGCGCCCCCTTGGGCTGGGGCAGGGGCGAGGGAAGGGCTGAAATGAAGTTCACAGCCTCTGAATATGGGTTTTCGAGGGACTGGGAGCACAGCCCTCCGTGCTCCGCGCAGGCTAGGAAAGCGGACCGCTCAGGTCAAGAGAAGCCACATCTGGACCCCCGGCTGCGCTGCCCATCCCCCCGCACACTCCAGAGGCAGAATTCTGGCACCGAGGGGCCAGCGGTTCTGGCTTTCGTCTTAGTGACACAGCCCCGCAGCCGCGTCCTGCGCCCCCAGGGGCTGCGCGCAGCTCGGGGGGAACCGGCGCCACCGCTCGGAGCGTGGACAGCAGTCCTCCCGGGTGTGCTCTACCTGCCCCGCGGGGAGGGGACTGAATGGACCTTTGGGACCAACCTGACTGGGAAGGAAGGGGAGACACCTCGCAGCTGCCCCGCGGGGAGGTCACTGAATGAACCTTTGGGACCAACCTGACCGGGAAGGAAGGGGAAACACCTCGCAGCTGCCCCGCGGCTTCCCAGCCCAAGCCCCCCAACTCCGGGGTCAACCCGCACCGGCACCTACCCAAGCTGCCGAAAAGGCCGGACGCACAGCACGCCAGAGCCAGCACCGCGCACAGGAAGCCAATCTGCTGCAGCAGCATCTCTCGCCTCCTGCGAACTTTGCGCGGCCGGAGGGGACCCGGGAGCGCCATCCCGGANGTCCCTGGGAGACGGCGGGGAGCTTCAGCGGCCGGAGTGCTACCTGCGGTCGGGCGGCGCCGGGGGCTGAAGAGGGCGCCGCGCCGCTCAGAGGCGAGAGTCTCCGCACCAAAGCTTCATGGCCCCGCGGGGGAGGCCGGCGGCGAAGCGCAGAGAGGGG